CTGATGCGGCGGTCTAATCATCGCCGGCCGTCCTACGCCACATCAACGATTTCCGATAAAAATCGATCAGAATGACTGCATTGAAATGTTACATAAAGATTTAATATTAGATCGGCAAAATTCGAATAATAAATTTAAGATCGATGGGACGATTTTCGCCGAGAACACTCCCCAAATTTGATTGAACAGGAGCAAAACACGTAGGGGAGACCCTTGATGACTTGACGAGGATGCTACAATAAAAGTAGCAAGGATCGAATTTAAGGGGAAAAGAGAGAGAATCAGAAGGCTATCTTCCCCGTACGTGAAAAGAAACGATAAACAAAGCGCGGCAGCACCCTTATCTTGACGATGATGTCCCTCGACATGGCAAGAGTTGCTTTATACCCTTTAATATCAAAAGCATTTCTTCCCATCCATGCACTGCTCAATTCAGCTTTTTATGTGATGAGTAGGTTAGGACTGTTTAGTTGGCTCATCGGTCTATTAGGGAAGCTAACGGAGATACTCTTAATTTAATCGGGGATCGATCGGGTCCGATGCAATCGCAAAGTATACTTGTAATCGTAACGAAATAGAGTCGTAATAGCTATCGAATTAAGAGGGTGGAGTGCACATTGCATATAATTAAAACACGCGAGGGCATTCCCGAAATTCTCCTGCTTTCTCTTCGATGAACTAAGGATCTTATCGACGTCTTGAATCCCTTCTTGAGAAGATGCCAAGTCATCTATCAACTCTCAAAGGATCCGACAATCACGCGCATCATCACTTACAGTGTCAAGTACTATGTAAAACTGGAGCTTACCACAAGTCCGTAAAAACTTATCGAGAAAACAGCTAAGCTCTTCACCATCAACTTTGAACCTCTCCAACAGAACGCGGTGCGCGTCTAACGTGTCGGTTTTTGTTACGACCCTACAAAGCGGTGATCATAATCGATACTTTTTCATTCGTTAATTACGCTTCATACAACTGTGAGAACGATTCATGGCGAAGAACTCCTTAATCACCACAAGTGTCTCTCTCTCTCTCTCCCTCTCCCCCACCCTCAACGTGAAAGAGACATCGAGGAACGGTAGCAAATGTCCATGTAAGTCCAAAAACGAGTCGAAACTTCTGTGGTTTTTACTCGGATTGCGTCACCCATTAGACGCGTGGGGACACAACCTTAATGCCTTTGGCTACACGATGAAATCTTTTGACCCATAATTTGATTATTTTGGAGCCTTTCTTTAACTTATTAAAGCCAAGATATCACTCTCTTTCTAGTTGCTGGGGTCCCCATGCCCTAAGACATAATGATTGTCCCAAGCATCAGAACATCACTTTCACGTTCAATTTGGGGACGTGTGAAGAGTAATATATATCTCCACTTTTGTGCCAAGAATAAAGGGCCCAAAAGTCTCGCCCCCTCCCTCCCTCCAACGTCATGTTCATGTGGGTGGGATGAGCTGACAAGTTTCCTTTTTGCATTTCCCTTTCGAGCCAATTGCTTTTGAGCCGTGACCGCAATAGTGAATCATCGGGTGTTGCCGACTTCTATCATCTTTGTTTTCCACACTAGAAAGTAGAAAAGCTGCTTCCTTGAACGTGACCCTAATTGGTTCCTCCCCACCATTGATTGTGACTCAGAATTTTCTTTCGACCTCGACCTCGACCTCGACGCAGTTCGCGAGGCAATCCCATGAGTTCGAAGGCAAGATTCTGATGAGCTATGAAAACCCTTCCGTTTTCAGGACGAAGCAATTCCTAGAAGGTCAACCTTTCTCAATTTCGACCTCACGGTCTCGAGGAAAATCGGATATATTCATTGTGAGTTGACACGAACAACGATGCGACCGCAGCAATGATTCCGGGATGCTGGTGTCGTTGTGTTTTACCCCGTGCAAAAGGGTTGGATTAACCACAAGAAGATGAAGCATTGAATGATGTGTTCAAAAACATGCCGAAAATATGAATAAGTCATTGGGTCATAATGGGCCTTTTTGTGAATGTCTCTTCAAATTGGACTTTTCTCGCTTTCGTTGATAAGATTCTAACAAGCTACGAAAAACCCTTTTGTTTTTCGGGATGAAGCGGTGCCTAAAAGGCCCGACTTTTCTCGCTTTAGACGTCACGGTCTCGAGAAAAATCGGACATATTCATGTGTGGAGTCGACACGAACGACGAGACCGCAGCATTTGTTCCGGGATGCTGGTGTCCTTGTGTTTTACCCCGTGCAAAAGGGTTGGATTAACCACAAGAAGATGAAGCATTGAATGATGTGTTCAAAAACATGCCAAAAATGATGAATAAGTCATTGGGTCGCAATGGGCCCTTTTGTGAATGTCTCTTCAAATTGGACTTTTCTCGCTTTCGATGATACGATTCTAATAAGCTCCAAAAACACCCTTTTGTTTTTCGGGACGAAGCGATGCCTAAAAGGTCCGACCTTTCTCGCTTTCGACCTCACGGTCTCAAGGAAAATCGGATATATTCATGTGTGCAGTCGACACGAACGACGACGCGACAGCAGCAATGGTTCCGGGATGCTGGTGTCCTTGGGTTTTACCTAGTGCAAATGCTTCGGCTTAAACCGCAAGAAGATGGAGGGAGCATTGAAAGATGCGTTCAAGATGCCAAAAACGATGGACAAGTCATTGGGTCGCAATGGGCCTTTCTGTCGAATGTCTCTTCAAATCGGACTTAAACTCTCATCATGGGCCTTCTTCCTCTGAGGAAGGAACTACTAGGGTTTCAGTTTCATGGAAGGAGACCTTGGATTCGGACTTTCTATATAAACGCCCCCTCACACCATCGTTTGTCGATCGTATGAATGCTAGCCGATCTTGGGTTTCGCTTCTTTTGTTGCTCCATCCGTGTTTTCTCTCTCTTTCTCTGTTTTGTTTTTGGAAACTCTGCGAGGAAGTACCTCTGAACTTTTTGAGGCAGATTACTGAATGAAACGCCGCAGATTAATCATGGATGGCGTTGAGGTCCTTCTCTTCGTCCGCCATTTTTGAGTGGGGGCGTTTCATATTCCATTGATGGCGTCTCACATCCTCTCTCTCTCTCTCTCTCTCCCATGTCTAAAAGGTTGCTTTTTTAAGACTCCAATTTGATATTTTGAAGTTCTGTCGGCTGTGTCAGATCATTTTTCTCTGGCTGCGCGCGGAGGAACTTCTGTTTCGTAGTCTTTTGTGAACTCCAAGCGTATCTTTCTCTCAAATTCTTAGAAATAGATTGAAACTTGCTTGACATAAAGTGCAGACAGACGAGCTGTGTGTTTTTTTTATTTGTTATGGATTATACGTAGTGTGTAAGCATTTCGGATGGCCTGTGACGAAAGCATCTTGATAAAACACACCATCTTTCGGGACTGAATGGCTGTTTACAGCCTTGCTGTCATTCTGCAATTCTGAGGCCTCCCCTGTTTGAATAACTTTTTGATCTACTAGAAGTTGCAGAGCAGAGCATCCAAATTTGAGTTCATTTGATCCACTAGAAGAAAGATGCAGAGCATCCAAATATGAGTTCATTGTTTTCGTAGGATGTCCTAAAATCACTTCCTGACAAAAATGTAGCTTAATGAACTAATAGATGTAACAAAATTCAATGAATTAAGGGACCCAAGATTAGAGGTTTGATGTGAATACACATGATCTAATGAGTGAGATGGAATGGACTCATATGCACTGCAAGAATTGGTCGAAATAAACGGACTGAAGCAAATATGAAACAGAAAAATAACACATACAGAGCTGATGAGGTTTCTGACATGGACCGAGCGTGGTTATATACAAAAATCTTACAAGAGCCTTTTGCAAATTCAGCATCAAAAGGTTGCAATAGGTGAATATTACAAAAGGACCTTTAAAAATCAAGCATTCCCCATTTACATAACCCCATCCCAAGGGCACAATACTAAGATCCGTCTGGATAACCATAACATCATGTCACAAATACAACAAGTATTATGATTGCCAATTTGCAGCAATCAGTAGAATAAATACCCACCTACGCCTATGGTTTTACCCACACTGGACCTTCTGAGGCTGAGATTCTAGGACTATTCTTGTCGTCTCAATGACGGCTTGCCCGCTCACATAGTGCTGCCGGCAAACGGGCATGTATACATCAGCGCCACCAATTACTTCTGTCTGCGTCTCGCCAGTCTTTCTGAGGGTGAAGAAAGCACGTTTTCCACAAAGTTCACATCGGGCGGTCAACTTGGTGACAGAATCGGCTAGAGGTATAATGTTGAGCACTGAACCAAAACTCCTCCTGGCAACCAAACGAGCCCAACCACATTGTAAGGGATTTTATGACAGTATATTATCATTTAACCGAGGCATTGATCGAAAGAAAAGGAAGAGAGAGAGAGAGAGAGAGAGAGAGAGAGAGAGAGAGAGAGAGAGAGAGAGAGAGAGAGAGTGAGAGAGATGGGTTACTACCTCAAATAGTCACCATCCAGCCCAGCAACCACAAGAATCTTGCCATCACGATCAGCAGCTTCTCGGCAAAAGTCATAAAGGTCTTCAAAAAATTGAGCTTCATCTATACCAATGACATCTAGCTGCAAAAATGAATACACATATTCTAGACTTATTGGAAGAAAGGGCCTTAGAGGAGAGCCTTGATGATAACCAAGCACATCAGCTTTTATAAACAAGAGAACTTCCAAGCACTTTTTGAGAAAAAAAATATATATCACAAATCATCAATGGATAATATACTTCATGAATTGCCATTTGCCACTCATTCTGCAGTGAAGATATGTTTATTCAAATGATACTCTTCCTTTGCAATACCTGATCATAAGCATTAAGGCCGAATGTTTCTTTGAATGAAGACAAATCTTTCAATGCCAAACATGGGAATTTCGCCCCATCATGAGTCACGATAGAATCCAATCCATATCTTGTATCCTTGTTAGATTTGATAACAGCTACGCTTCTGCACAAAAAAGACGGACAAAGGTTCAGAACACAATTCAGTGAGGGACAACAAAGTTGCTTTTGCACCAATGCATGTTGAGATATTAGAATTCGTTCTGAATTCCCATAAACATTAAGAGCATAGTAAGTGTACAACTTAGGTAGACGCACCTAGTTGTTGGGTTTATGATAAAAAAATCCACTGAGAATCCAAAAAACTACGTTGATGTAGTGAATGGAAACTACTTTGTATATATATGGGTGCACTCTGAGCACTTTACATCCACACCACATCGGCACTGCATGTTAGTCAATCTGCTAAGGCCAAGTTGATGGCAGAGTATTTGGATGATAAAATAACTCCATATGCAAAACAAGACTGGACATCAAAAAGCTCTTGACATTGACTGAAAATGCAATGACCAAGTATAATCAACCATCAGCCGATAAATTTTGAACGCACCCCCTCATCCCTCGCGATCTGCAACATTTCCCTAAAAAACTCCGTTGCCGATACACCCCCACCAGCATGGGGAGCAGAAAGCATGATACAGAATTATAAGCTCCTTCTCCCTTAGTTAATTACCATCCAAGTCAGGAACAAATCCAATATCCTTCAAGATGCATGTCACTTGTTTAATCATCTCACAAATCTCTCTGGATGTCTCATGAGAGCGGTCACCCTTGTGGAAAATATGCATCTTCTCTTTCACTTCAATTCTGCTATAAGCAGGCTCTTTCGTCATGCCTGTATTCTTCATTACTTCCCAAACCTCTGCGACCTTATCCCATAAACCAAAGGTAGCATAGCCATTAGCTAAGACAACATATTTTCCAGCATTTTCTGGTTCTAACTCTAGATATCTTTTAGCTGCAATTCTTAAGAGGTCCATGTTTCCATGAGTCCTACAAGCCCCAAGAAGAGACCCCCATACTACTGGGTGCTCAACATAGGGAGAGTTCAAAACTAACGCATAAGCCTCTCCCAACCTACCAGCACGGCCTAAAATATCCACCATAATGGCATAATGTTGCCCTCTAGGTTGAATGCCATACTGTTTAGCCATCAAGTTGAAGTATCCCCGACCTTCATCTACCAAACCTCCATGGCTGCATGCAGAAAGTACTGCAAGAAACGTAACATAATTTGGCTTAAACCCTTCATCTAGCATCTTTTGAAAGGAATCCAAAACTTTCATTACTTTACCATGTTGGCCATATCCAGATATCAAAGCAGTCCAAGTCACAACATTTCTCTCCATAGATCTATCAAACACTCTGTGTCCATCAGATAGACTACTGCATTTGAAGTACATATCAATGAGTGCACTACTAACTACAACATTTTCCTTTACATGACTCTTTATCATAACAGAATGCACTCGCTTCCCATGTTCCAATGTTGCTAATGACGCACACGCTCGAAAAACTGATGCAAAGGTATATTGATCCGGAATCAAGCCATTGCTTCTCACCTCATAATAAAGATTCAAGCCAATTTCCAAACCGCCCTTTTGCACATACCCTGCTATCATGGCATTCCAAGAAATCAAGCTTTTACTGTTTAACTTGCTGAACAATGTGTTTGCAGTATTCAGATCTCCCAGCTTAGTGTACAATATCAGCAATTTAGTCTTCATATATTCATCTGGAACATATCCAACAACCAACATTTGGGCATGGACTATCCTTCCACTCTCATATGCTTTGCTGTATATACATTCTTGCACCAGAAGAGCATATGTTGCTGGATGCACCTGAACCCCGGTATTACAGAGGAGCCTGACAGATTCTGTCAGCCTTCCACAATAACAAAGACCCCTCAATGTTTTTTCCAGCTGGAGAAAGTCCTTTCGGGGATCAACCTGTAAGCTGGGAATACCTTGCAAGTGACTACAGCACTCCACAAATGGAACAACATAACAGGAAGATCTTTTGTTTTGGAAATTCTAACACCGCATTCGTAGAAAGACAGCATATTGAGCTATTTACGAATAATTCTTCCTCGACATGGATCAAAGAATTTCATTGCTACGAAATTCTCAATGTAGCACAGATATTTTGTGAAGGACCAAAGGAAGAAACTTTGGTCTTACTTACTTCACTATATCCTAATGAGTAGTACTATCATGGAGGTGATCCCATGGTAACTGCCATGAGATTTCCCACATCTTGTTTCCCTTAATACAGTCACAGATCAGCAATAATTATACATAGAGTACCTTGTGACGGCAATTGTCACAAAATCTGCCCCAAATATTGCAAATCAGATCACATTGATCGTTGAAAGCTTCCTAACTAAAAGCGAGACAATTAAACACCTCTACAATCGTATCTTTGAGAATGCTTTCTCAAGTCAGCTTGTTGGGAGATGCTTTAGCTGATAATTTGAACTGTGACCATCCATGGCACAACAATCTTTGACAATAAGACAACGTAATATTCATCATGTGAATTGGCCATCCTGTTCCTATCGCCCCCAAAATACCAAAAGGCTAACAGCGCATAGAAGTACTGAGATCCATCCAAAATCCAACTTTACGGAGAGCACAACGAGAAACAAGTTAAATAACCGCGGACAAATTTACAAGCAGCACGACGGACTCACTCAAACTCTACAAGTGTAAGTGCCCATTTCCGCTTTAACATTACCGGCCAACTATCCAGAGCCAGCCTCAAACATTACTAGCAAGAAAGCTAGCAACACTCAACACCACAGAAAAAAACCAATGACCCAACAACGAACAATCAATAATACAAGATAAAACAAAGAGAAAAGTTCAAATACCTCCCACTGCTGCTCTCCAACTCGATCCTCCGGAGAAGGCCGGTGGTCTTCCCGGCGAACATGGGACCCACGATGACGTGAATCTCGCCGGAAGAAGGCGAGCGCGGAGCACCCATTTGCGAGCTCCGATGGAGGCAGCGAATGGGGGGGTTGTCCGGGCATGGTTTGGGCCGGAGACCGCGGAAGTTCGAATTTTTAAGGGCGAAGATGGACGCTTTAGAGGATGAGAAGGAGGAGAGGGGAAGAGAGAAGGTGGGTCTGGACAGGCGAGGGGAGAATGCCGCGAAGGTTGGGGAGATGAGAGTCTTCATCCTCAGAACAGATGACATATGCACAGAGAGAGAGAGAGAGAGAGACAGATACAGAGGTTTTGGTTTGGTCGTGTTGGACAGTGGGTTAGGGTTTTAGGATGGAGGGAAAGCAAGAAAGAGGAGGAAGAAGAAATTCTTCGATTATTGCGCATATATCGCGCATTCCGCCCTAGTAAAATCCCTATGGATTTTTTTTTTCTTATTGAAAACGAGGGTTGATCGGTTCTAGGTCAGGCCGGTTCTACCTTAGAATCAATAGCCCGACCAATTCGCCCTAATAAAATCACTATGGATTTTTTTTTCTTATTGAAAACGAGGGTTGATCGATTCTAGGTCAGGCCGGTTCTACCTTAAAATCAAGAGCCTGATCGGACTGATCGGTCCCGGTCCGGATCCCAAGTCGGATTGGTCCGTTGTAAGGTTTTCGCAATTTCCTTTTCTTTATTCTTCAAAAGAAAATGAAAATTTGAAAAAAAAAATTAAACCAAATCGGTCTGGTCCGATTTGGGCAGTTCAATTTCGCACTTGGAATTGGGAACCGGATCGATTATTCCCAATTTCAAATTTTTGGAACTAAATACCTTTCGAAATCAGCCAATTCGATGCGGTCCGGTCCAATTTCCACGAACAGCCCTATTGGAAACATGATGTTTCCTCGCTTGTTCTTTCTCATCCATTTCAATCTTTACATCTTGAATGGACAAATTTACCCTCAATAATTTACCTATATAAGATGCTTAATGACATCAAATTAAAAGTGAAACTGTAAAAAAAATGAGTTGCTACTAGATCTTATTCCAAACTAGCTACTTAGCTCGTGCTTTGGATGGGCGCGTTTGTACATATATTCGGTGTCAATTCATTTGATATGATTGTCTATTCGATTCCTTTTAATAGTAAAACCAAAACTCGAGGTCATCTCTTTATATTCATTATAAAAGATAGAAGCTGTAATTCACACTATAAGAAATATAACGCTCATAAGAGCTATGTCTATCAACTTTTTTGTAAAAGAAAGTTCTATTTCAATTTTTTAAGTGGATTTTTTTAATGGAATTATCTCAAATGTTCTTGTCAGTTGTAGATCTTGTATCCTACAATTAGTAATTAAAATAAGTGAACTCCAAAAAGGCATAAAATAAAGCTAAATGTCGATATGCTTTTGTCTTCGGAAGTGTTATCTTTTTGGAAAATCATTTTTAACAATTCATTTAAGGTTTAAGATAAATGGATTTCGAAAGCAAGAAATAGTACTAAATAAGCCATGGAAACCATTTTTGAAAGAAAAAAGTCCTGTATTTTTCCAATTTCAATTTAAATTAAAAATGTATTATTCAAAGTAAACTAAAGACATTAAGCTTACATAGTTTCTAGTATTTTACTATTTATGTTTCTTAAACTCGAGGGATTGTCTCTATTAGGTGCAGATATATTCACCCAATTAAATACGCTGTACTTTCAAAGTAAAAATAATTTCTAGTACTAATATATAGTTTTTTTTTCAAATTTCCATCTTAAGTTAAGGAGATACACTATTTAATACTTTTTATTGAGTCTGTTGTATTATTTGCATTATATAAATGCATTTTCTGTGGGGGATTTATTCACTTATTGAAATAAGCTATGGTCTTCTCTAATAAGAAACAGTTTGTTTGATTTTCTTCATTCCTTGTTTAAGATATACATTTCTCAATTTTTCAATATCTAATATTACTATAATATTTAAAACTTAGGTATTCTTTTTCCAAAGTACATGAAATTTATTTTACATTTTTGTTTAAAATTGGGTCAAGACCCTTTACTAAGAAGCAAGAAGATAATCAAAAGCACAAAGAGTTAAAAGAGAATAGAAAAGTATATTGCAGAAGGTCAAGATGAAGCAAACCTTCAATATAATCCACAAATCTAAGAAGACAGTACACAGGCCACGGTGGCCTCGTCCGGGTGAGGCCAGGCGGCCGGCCATGGCCGGTGGCCGGTGTCCGGTCACCAGCCAAAGGTAGAAGAAGAAGAAGAAAGAAAAGAAAACAAGAAAAGAAGGAAAATAAGAAAAAAAAAATAAGAAAAAATATTTAAAAAATCGAAAAAATATTATTAAATATCATCCCCATCAGCACCGACATGCCACGTAAGATTAAGAAATTAATAAAATATGACAACGTCAGATTTCCGCTGACCCAAATCGGAATTGGCACTTAAGTGATCTTTTTAAAAAAGTGACTTGAGTGATCCGAAAATAACTTTTGGCACTAAAGTGAGCGCCGTACACAAGTTTTGGCACTTCTGATGTGCTTCCCCCTCAAAGTAACACTAAAAAGTGCATTCATTGCTTGCAACAATCATCTTTCCGCCATTCGGTATCAACCCTAGTTACATTACCATCACTCCGCCCTTTGCACTACTAGCCGGTCCATTAGAAGCTAATCCACATCTCCGAGTCATCTAACATTAGAATCACACCTCTGCAACTCTTAGAGGTCCAAATTGCAAAGCCACCAACCACTTGAACTCGATTCGTCCACGTCCCTTAACTGAGCAATTCATGTAAGAATCTGCAGGAACTTGTGTAGTCCTGTCTTTAAAGAGGAAATATAGTCACTCTTATAGCATCATAATTATCATACACAAAACTGTCCATGCAACATATACAAATTGCCACTAGACAGACCATTTTGCCAGCTTAACGTATGATCCCTAAGCTATATCGACGTTTTTTTGCCACAATTGTAATTTCTCTGCTAGAGTTTCATCCTAGAAACTAAAGGCAAAATCAGTTGAACTTGTCACAGCAGGGTTCCATAAAGCCTCTGCAGAAGTTCGGCAAACTGAATCCACGATATACCTTACTATCGACCCAAAAATAATATACGCTTCACAAAGATGGCCATCCTCGACCATGAAAGAAGCATGTTGCTGCATTACTTTGTCTTCCTGTTCCAGCAATAATGGTTGTAATTGTACTATTGATCACCAACCGTCCCTCAACGTGCGTTCTTTCTCCAGAACATACATTCCTTCTTTATATTTTTCACTTTCTTCATAAGCTTTCTCCTGGAGATAAATAACCATTGAAAAGGGTTTCAGGGAAAATCCAACAAAAGAGAAAGATTCATGAGAACAATAATTCCCTTCCAAATGAAGTTCCCATCCCTCACTAAATTGAAAACAAGCGGAAACTATAGCCAAAGCATGCTCTGCTCTAATTAATGTACTATGCACAGACTTAGAAAAATCCAATTTAGCTGAAGCGTCTGCTTAAAAAGTTGCAAAATTTTGACTTTTGAATGCAATTCCCATTTCTTGAAGTTCAGAGAACTAATTAATGTACTATGCACAGACTTAGAAAAAACCAATTTAGCTGAAACGTCTTCTTAAAAAGTTGCAAAATTTTGACTTTTGAATGCAATTCCCATTTCTTGAAGTTCAGAGAACATGAGGTAATCTCTTCCTCCACAAGGGTTGGTTTCATGCATAGTCGAGCAAGCTAAAGCATCCTAGACCATGACATAGAATAGTAAGTTAAAACTCACATATCTCCATCCCAGTAACTGTTGGCAAGAGCTACAATAAATATCATTCACGGTATGTAATCCGCTAGATAAATGACGTTGTTCCTCGGGTCCAATGGAGATGTTTACCCTGCAAAATTGAGCAACAGCACATTACAACATATAATCTGTTTCTTTTTACGATGCAAGCATTCAATCTAAGCAATAAAGTTAAAAAGAGCAACTGTCCAAATTAAACTACAAAAAGTTGGGAGTCAAGTTACGAAGGGAAGCAAAAACAAGTCAGCAAAAACGTACTTTTCCTAGTGACAAGAAAAAGATAGTAGTTTCCACATATCAAGTTGCCCATAGTTAAACAGCCAGTGAAAGCATTACCAGAGAACCAACTGAATTGCAACATTATTACACACTAAAACTGCACAGCATAATAATGCGACGGCAAAGCTAAAGGCCTGTCAAATTAGTTCCTGATAGCAGCACATAGACGCCAGTCTACTATACCGGGGCAGTTATCCAGAGAATGGTGGGAACACCATTTCAAGCGAAGTAAGTTATCACTTGCTTCGACACCATTCACAACACAACACAGCACTGAGTCATCTTCCTGTAAATAATCGCTTGTTTACAGACTCCACAGAGCTAATGTTTGCCAAACGAAAGCCTGCTCCTTCCGAATAACACTAAAGATACTGCCACTTGTTCACAAAACTCGACTAGTTTGCTTACTACGAAAAGCGAGTACGTTAGAAATGCATACTCTCGTGCGCGCGCACAGAGACACAAACGCACTCAAAGACCAACCGGTTATTTATGGATCACCAATTCAAAGCTACCAAAAGCAAGTACAGAGAAACGATCATCGATTACCAATGCCCCTCAAACATCAGCCAATCATACCCATCAATCAAAACAACAATCCTTCAAGATCGTCCACTGTCCAGGCCAATGCCCCAAAGCACAACAGCCGCAATTCAAAAACATGCACCCCCCCCTCCCACGATCACCAAAACCACCACCCAGAGGAAATAAAAATCCCCATCTTTGCCAATCATTAGCCGGGAAAAAAAACAGCGCAACACGAAATGGGTAAACTCCGAATCACACCAAAAAGCTCGCAACGCCGGAAACGGAATCCGGAAAGGGAACTCACACTCTTGTCATGAGGTACGCGAGGCCGTATCGGCCGCGGAATTCGTTGGAAGAGATGTCGTCGTGGGACGCCGAGTCCACCCTGCAGAACCTGCACTTGAATATCTTCTCTCCGCTCAGGTGCTGTATGTACAATCGCCCCATGCCTGTTGGTTTCGATTCAAATGGGAGACGCCGAAACCCTAATCCCCAAATCGACGAACGGAACGGACATGTGCAGAGACAACAAATCTTCCGATTTTGGCCCCTTCCAAGTAAGAAGTTTTTCTGATCGGAGGTGGAATTTATGGTGCGTTCGCATGGTTTTCCTTAGTCTTAATTTTATTATATGATTTTTATTTTTATTCGCGCGATTTGATATGCCTTGTCCGCTATGAACTTGCTGAGCAAGCAAGCCGAAAGGGCTAAAGAATAAGGATAGTAATTCTAAGGGTTAATACCACGAAAAGCCTAACTGATACGTTTATGATACATTTGGCAAATTATTTTTTGACCATAAAAATCCCAAAGTTGCACTTTGTGATAATTTTACACATGAACTATTTTTTGATCACCAAAACCCCAAAAAGATATCCCATGTGATAATTTTACTCTGAACTATTTTTTTGACCACAAAAATCCCAAAGCAGTCATACGTGACAATTTTACCCCAAACATACCACAAAAACCCTAAAGCATTGTGACAATTTTACCCGAACTAATTTTTAATATTATTTTTTTGAATTTTTGAATTTTTTTTTTTTCTTTTCTTTTCTTTTCTTTTTAATTCAAGTTCAAGGACTATGTTGTATATTTTCATATAGTTCAGGGATTAAATTGAACAATTACTAAAAGTTCAGGGATCAAGTTGAACAAATTGAAAGTTCAGGGACCACATTGAACATTATGTTAAAGTTCAGGGACTACATTGAACAAATTAAAAGTTCATGGATCAAATTACATATTGAGTCAAAATTCAGAGACTGTTTGTGTCATTATCCTTAAAAAATAAGGATAGTAATTCTAAAGATAAATCAAACACATTTTCATCGTTTTTGATCCTCTCGTGGAGAGGGTCTCCACGGGCCAAAACCCAGAAGGCTTTTCTTTGCTTATTGGGTGCGCAGGCCGACCCGGTTTGCGATATTGGTTCGAGCAAAGCCCGAGAGAGGTCGGGAAAAGGACACGGCGCATCTGACAAATTCCCAATGAGAAAATCTCAAGCCTACCCTTTCAGCCAAAATCAAATCCTGCTTCTTTGCAAAGAAAGACGCTCCTAATGAGAGAGCTCCTGTGCCGCATGCACCGAAGGTGATAGCTCGAATGAATCCCCGTCTCGTGATGATCCTTCGAGAAGAATACAACCGCACCCCTCAGAATCCACTATCAAAAACAGGTTTGGAGCCAACTTTTTTGGGCCTGTATCATTCATTAGCCTGCACCGGCTCCTTTTGGTTCGATTCGCAATTCCAATTTTTCAGAAGCGGAATACACAGGCCGACCCGACCCGCCGGGCAGATGCACACTCCAATGTCCAACATAGCTCAAGAAAAGGAAGAGAACCAAGTGTTGCAGTCACTACAAATGAAAGCAACTTGAAGCATTGCACAGAATATTAAGGAGCTGTCGCATCTCAATGACAGAATACAGTTCTGGCTAACCCAATCGTTTAAAAAACAGACATTCTTAACAAGATGCAAAGGACCATCCTCGACTGCGGTTGACACCGTATATCAGAGCAAGTAATGCTTCGTTCCAGCATTGCGCGATAGAGCCTGGTATAGTGTGTGACCTAGAATTTGGCAGAAAAAGAATAACCAAGAGTAGCAAGTGGCATAGCAATAGCATTTTACCTCTATACAGAACAGAAAACTTCATATGTGGAACAGTGGTAAGACACTAAAAACATCGAATGAAATCTTGATTCTTGAGATATCAACAATAAGTTTCATCTGTTTTCGTCGTCCGGATCAAGAATATTTACATGAGATATTCCCTCCTCGTCACCTTAAAAGGGAATTACAACCGTCTTCAAGTCGAGTCTCTTCCACAGATCGTATAAAATATGAGCATTTTCTTCCTCGGGTAGCTTCGTAGCCTCTTACGTAGAAGACTCGCTCTTCCAAGTACTATTTCCTCATTAAGCTGCAAGCCTAACATGGCATCGAGCAGAAACTGTCCATATGTTAGGCATGAAGACTAATGAGGAAACTGTACTTGGAAGAGCAGATCTTTTGCGTAAGAGGCTAGTAAGCGACCCGAAGAAGAAAATCCTCATCATTTTAGACAATCTGTGGAAGGGACTTGACTTGACGGCAGCTGGAATTTCCTTTCAAGGTAACAAGGAGGGAATTGCTCATACAAAAGTTCATCATCCAGACGGCAACGACAGATGCACCATTTGTATGAACTACAGATTGCTCCATACATTATACATCCACCACAGGTCATGTACATTCTCTCTCCCCTCATACCTCTGCTTCAACCATCATAAACCCCCAAAAAAGTGAAAAAAAAAAAAAATCAGTATTTACTGAGCATTTCGACCAGGGGAGAAAGAAGAAATCGTGTGAAATAAAAGGCTAAAGCTTTTAACCTATGTAAAATCCTAAGCAGAACAACACCAAGCTTTTCTGGGTGCTGCATCGGTTTCCTGATTACCATCACCCTGTAAAACAACAGTCTTTCCATTACCTACCCATATTGGATCCTGCTTCTTCAGTTCTTGTGAAGCGATGACTTTCCGGCTTAATATTCGGTATATCTCTTCAACCACCGTCTTGAATGCAGCAACAACATTCGAGGAATCAAGGGCTGAAGTTTCCATGAAAAACAAGCCTTGAGCTTCCGCCAAGGCTTTTGCTTCAGCGACTGTCACTTCCCTTGCATCCTTAAGATCGGACTTGTTACCGACAAGTATAGTCACAACATTCATGTCGGAGTGAGCTGTTAGATGATGAAAGTACTTTTAGTTCTCAGTAGTACATATTAATCCAAGCATTTTTTTTTCCATAGCCATAAGAGATGTGGAAACAGAACACCTTATGCATATATACAAAATAAGACTTCTAGTTCTCAGTAGTGCATACTAATGCAAGCATTCTTTTTTTTTTTCCATAGATTTAAAAAAAATGTGGAAAGAGAACAAATACATGCAATTATGCTACAAGTGGCATTAGCTTTAACTGGCCAAAGATGTGATTATTTACACGGAAAGAGGATAGAAAAAACAGATTACAATGTTCTAAGAATAAACGAAAATTCAATTTCTTTACGAAAAGGGAACAATGTTGATGAACTAATTTGCTAGCATAAAGCTTCAGGATTAGCACCAGAAATTAATGGCCATCAATTTCCACCATACAGATTTTTCCAATGACCAAAGACTAGTTTCCAAGCCAATGCACTCAACAGGAAGAGAAGAATGAAAAAGTAACCAGAGCATAAGCATATCAAACTATATATCATTCACTTACTGTGAAGTTCATTAAGCCATCTACCAACGCTATCAAATGTTTGGCGTCTGCTAATATCATAGACCAAAAGAGCTCCAACTGCTCCTCTATAATATGCAGATGTAACAGCCCTGAATCTCTCCTGGCCGGCTGTATCCCAAATTTGCGCCTTCACTTCCTTTCCATTGATGTCCATCTTCTGCGTTTGGAATTCTACTCCTATAGTTGACTTTGAATTGGGGTAAAACTCATCCCGGGCAAATCTTGCAAGTAAGTTTGATTTCCCAACAGCTGAATCACCAATAAGAACTATCTTGAACAGGTAATCCTCCGTCTGCTCGTCTTCACCACGAAAAGCCATCTTTCTCTCGTCACAGGTTGGGTATCTACGCAACCATAACAAGAGCATATACTCTGATAATCTGCAAAACAATCGGGTCGCTCAAAATCATAGTCGAAGCATTTTCTGTTCGCAAGAGGAGAGTAAAAACTAAATTACCTCAAAAAGGGAAATTCAGGCAGATTAAATAGGAAACTTCCAAGCCAGGCAAGGAATATGCAGGAAAAAGCAGCGAAACATTACTTGAAGGCTCAGCATAAGGGAAGTCGATCTGAGCTCCTCTCTGAATGCAAATGTTGGACCAGTGTCTAGAGTAATATGACTTGCAACTCCACTCAAGTTTCTTCACGCCATGCAATACTGCTGGAAGCTTTCAAAGAGTCAACTTCAGAGCTGGTCCAAACGGTCAATCTCCTGCAGAAAAATAGCTAATCAGAGTCCAGAAAGCCTTGCATTGATATTTATAGAGAAGATAATTGCACCATTTGCTCTAAAAGTTTAACAATGAGAGCTATCCATTGGATGTTCTGCCGCTCTTAACGCTCGACGAGTGTAATCCGACAAAAACAGATCGCTAAAGTAAGCTAAAAGCTGAGCAGAATCAGCATATGACACGCATTTGAGCCTTTCACCAAAACTCCCAAGTCTTTCCCCTCCTGCAACGGAAAATTCGAAGTAACAGGCTCTGTTAAACTGATGGACCGGGGTGGCCCCTATTCAAGCTTTGAAATTCTCCAAAAATCGGACCATCTCCCTCAGATAACAAAGGTCAAAGAACCCCTAAGATCACGACACCATTCCTCTCTTGAAACGAATGCACCTCCCTCTCTCTGCCAAACTAGAAAAAAAACTTGGAAATGGCTCTCAGTTGTACGGCAGCTTTCGAGACTTGATCATCAGAAAAATCAGCACTTTACTGCAATCACGAGCTCGCCGACGTCGCACTCCGCCCTCTCCACGACAAGTGCAACGCAGATCCCATCGAGCCCAACGCGAAACTACCCCAGCAAAGAAAACCAAAAAAAAAAAAAAAAACAAAGACGACCCGCGAGAGAGGTTTCGGGAGCTTTCAGACAAAAAAAACCCACGAACAAACCAGCAATGTCGACTCCGAAATAGCAAGAGCGACGTCCTCACGCCATCGCTGCCGCTTGCGAGGAAACAAGATCATCAAAAACGAAAGCTTGCAATCAATCAAACACGCGGGAACCCAAAAGAAGAAGACGCCCCCCAATGCACACCCGCACAAACCCAGGGCACGGACTACCGAAGCGTACCGATTGCGAAGATCACACTCCTCCTCCGCCACCCTTCTTCCGGCGAGAACACGATCGGGACCCCCACCGCGCTTCCGATCGCCAATGCGGGACCGGAGACGGATCGTTCCGATCGAATCTGGGAGGGAGGTTAGGGTTTGGACATACGCGGGGAGAGAGGGAGAGAGAGAGAGAGAGACTGAATTTGACCAGAGGGGGGCTGGTGTTGCGATACCTATTGGCCTTGCGGTGTTCCGACCAGATCTGATTCGATCGATCGATCGATGGATGATGATATGATACGCTTTCGTTCCGACTTATGTAGAAAGAGACCACGACCACGTTCCCACATCCCCCACCCCCCTCAAGTCCCTCCCCCCCCCCAGTTCAGGAACCAACCCCAGATGTTCGATTGTCCTAATTCCCATGTCTTTGCTCTTAGTTTAAATCTCCAACGAATGATTTGGGGAAAAAATTCTTAAATGGATCCAATGTCGGGAATTTCAATTCGCATTGTCTATATGCTAGCGAGTCCGGGGTTCGCGCCCGTTTTCCCGAGACAATAACTGTTCATACCTCAAATAAAACACGAGATGATCGCATCAGATGGTCAGTGAACATTGGCTCAATCTGTAATGCCGTCCTCATATCTTTAATCTGTTCAATGTGGCCCATTGACTTTCGATAAATGCTCAATCTTTAGTCCTTGGTTTCAACCTAATGTCTGGATTATTTAGTCCATGGACTAAATTGAATATGTACCGAAAATTCATGGACCACATTGAATAAATTGAAAATTCAGGGATAACATTAACAAAATTAAAAGCTTAAGAACGGCATTGCGCGTTGAGTTAAAAATTCTCGAATCATTTATGGCATTTTCCCCGTCCAACATTTATTGATAGCTAGCGTTGAATTCCCGAGCTCTGATTAGGATCGTCGACATTGGGGGCCGCCCCTTTAGTTTGGACAAAGTCCTTGCACCCCATGTCAAAAGCCGATTAATCTTGATCGGATTCATCTATAGACGACTCTTTGTCGAGAGGAGCCTCCAAACTTGGCACGGCTGCATCTTATAAAAAGCATTTACAATCAGATTTGGGCATCCAAGGATCCTTGAGCCGATGTATTGGTGTTTGGTAATACAATCTCGAGGGCCTTTGGTATAAAATTTCGCTTTACAAATAGATAAATACTAAAAGCTTAAGGCTGATCCCCCTACGTCCCCCTTACTTTAGGCTTTAGCATTTTCGAATGCAATTTGAGGGGCTAATAAAAAAAAAATTTATTCCGACTTTGCTTTTCGCTAAACTATATGAATTTAAGTTTTAGCCCCATGAGCATAGCAGAGGTGAGCTGCGCCACATGGGGTTGCGCGACATTGGCGGCCCGTCACCTAGGGTTCCGCAATGTCGGCACCGCATCGCCGGAGCTTTCCTCCGTTCTCCCCTTTTTTATTATTTTAAAAATTGCTTTGAAATAATTATATTACAATGTGTCCATCAAACCCTAATTTATTGCTGTTATTTCAAAAATAACTTTCTTTAGAAGATTTTTACTATTTTCTGTCGATATTACAATAAGGTCGTGTCGAATCCAAAATTTCTCTCAAATAATATAATTAACATATTTCTTTTTTTCTCTCGGGTTTTTTCAATATATACAAACTGCCTATATTTCATATTTGGATATTCCCAATTTTCGATTTTGTTTCGACTTTATGTTTGTTAGTTCAAGATTTGTATTTGCTATATTTGGTTGAACCCTAATTTATTAGATGCGAAGAGGTCGATAATTAATCTTTTTTTTTTTACGAGAATAAGGTAAATTGGCAACAATGCATAAAGTCGCAATTTCTTTTTTGAACCGAAAAAATAATTGAGTGATTTTTTTGTACTTCTTCTATAATTATCGCGAGGTTTTTATATTCTTGCACAACCATGATCTAACAACTATCATTTTATGAAATCATACTATCATGTGATGTCTACACTTAAATCACTTATGTTTGATTTAAAATCCAATTAATGTTAACGTCAAGTTTTCTAGATTCTGTGTATGTGAATCTCTGAATTAAAAAGTTATATTCTTTCATATCAAATTTACACATTACATATCTATATAAATTAAAATGGGGAAAAAGTACGCATAAATCAATTCCCACATCTATTCTGAATTATTATGTGGTCTATTTTTTAACTTTCCATGTATAGAAATAGAAAGATAGAGACTAGAAATGACATCTCTTAGGTCAATGACACCAAAGGGATATTAAATGAATGCCAATTTGAAAACAATATTCAATACAATTAAAAAGAATCAAGCGGAATTGGATGGACGATCTAACAAGGACGGAACTTCAGTGAATTTCCACGCAATTAATGGCCTTATTAACTTGTGCCAAACAGTGTCTTCATCGATCTGCATGCAACATATTAGCAAATCCAATAGCAAGAATCTTGACTATAAGTATCTATCCGTTGCATCGTCAACAACCATCGAAATCCCAATCAAGATACAGATGGATATGGCCATTCCCATCCATAAATGCACACATAAGTATATGGTTTTTTTCCCTTCCTTCTACCTGGAGAATATGAACGAGAAAATGAAATTAAAACTCTGGCATGCAATAACACAAGAGTAGGGGACATTTTTTGGGTAACATTGAATGTGGTTTGCATTGAGTAGTTATGATGAACAGGCCATTAAATACTTTGATGCAGCTAAAAGCTTAGCTGGGGAGAAGGGTCCAAACGGCCTATATGCATTGCTGCCAATGGCTGAATTGGACCATATGCACTGCCCCCCCCCATTAACTTTCTTTGGTCCATTTCTTGTCAGAGCAAGTAGCCCAAATCTTCATCCTTTAGGGTTTGCTGCTCATTTGAAAAGAACGCCCCAACAGAACCCAACAAGAACAAACAAATCGAATTTAATTCTGTCGGCATCTTGCTTTGCCAAATAATGTTTACTACGTGGTTAATGAGATTGATGAAATGGGCATCATCGTGGTTGATGGAGTTGAGAGAATTCGGTAGCGGTTAGCATGCATGTCCACTCGATACATCATCTGGAGCTGGTGAACTGCCCACCTTGCCCAAGGAGTTGATATTACAATCTAAAAGCCAAAGGGCGACCCTTGACGGGCTCGAGAGGCTTGCCATCATTGGGATGAGCTTTAGACAAAAACTCAGGCATGTTGGATTCGACCTAATTGTGTTTGAAGACATTGAAATTAGGGTTAATTACTAAAAATCCACTCAAACTTTGGTATTGTTGCATAACTGTCGCCGAACTTTGAAAATTTACATACCATCCTTCAATTTTGGCATCATTGCACAATGGTCCCGAAACTTTAATTTTTGTTGAAGTAATTAATTTTTTTCATCTCTATAGCCGTTAAGTGTTACTCGAACATGAACTGATTTGTTTTTCTTGATGAAAAGAAGCTCTATTAATTAAGTTTTGTTAACTTCATCAACCATGCATCCTCTCTGTTTATTTAACTTTGTTAACCATGTGGCCGACATTATTTTGGTCTAAAAGATGAAAAAAATTGAAAAGAAACAATTTTCAAGTAACATTTAATGGTTATGTAGACCAGAAAAACTAGTGAGTGCAACCAAAATAAAAGTTTATGGACTTTTCACAATATCAGGAAATGTGACTTTGCAATATTGCCAAAAATGTGGGCTTGAGCATTGGGCTTGGCCCGGTCCAACCCGGCTTGACGATTGGGCCTGGGAATTTCAAGTGTGGGCCGGACCGGTTCAAAAATGTCATCCACCAAAAAGAACAAAGCCCAAGATGATCTGTTCTTGATCCATTTGGTGTTTCAGTGTAATTAAGCTTGACAAAAAGAGAAAATCTATAAAATTGCCCCAATCAAGTCAAATTGTGTTGCTCTATGTCATTTCATTGCAGATGAATAGGTTGGCAATAAAACAAAAAGGTTTGGTAATATGAACGGTCCTTGAACTTTCGCGGATTATTCAATCTCATCCTTAACTTTTTTTCCCCTTGTTTGCATCTCTATATTACACCTTTGCTTTTCATATTGATCCTTTAAATAGAACGAAATGAACGGCGAAGATCGCCGTCCTCTTCGATAGATAGGGACGGCAATTTCCTCCTGATATATCCGCATTGCTCCGCCCCAAAATGGGGCGAGTAAAAACCTACAATCCATAGTTTGGGATGGGGACCGGGCAAAGTTTCATGCCCCGCATTTGGGTTGGGCCGAGGATGCGGGGCGGGGCGAGGATGGATCTGGCCGGTCCTTCCCCAGAACCCCGCCCCACTTCATAATTCACCATTTTTACATATTAGGAGTCATGTTTTCCTTAGGACTCGTTTGAGTTTTTGGCAATATTATTTTAATTTTCCTTCAATTGTTTCCTACTTCGATTAATTTATACTAGTTGCATAAGATGCCAATGTTGCTATTAAGGGCAACTTGATGGAATTTTAAGTCCCACTTAGCAATTTTTGTCTATTTCGTTTTTTTTCTTAACAAAGATTCAAAATGAACGAGATCTCCAACAGGGTTTAGATTCCAATGGAAGGAGGGAAAGCAACTAAAGGACAGCACGGAATAATAGGCGAGAGACCAATGTTGCTCGGGTATCAATCCTTCTAACCATGATACTTCATTTTTACAAGTTATTTTTGTATTCATCACATCATATATATCTTATCTTATATCACAAAAATAATCTTCTATGAATCAGCGTGAAGATAACACATCAAGCAAGACATAAACGAGTTATTTGTCTTTATCCGATTTCCATGTAGATCAAAGTGTTATCTTTATCTTTTAATTTCCACCATGATTACAGGTGGCGATCTCTCTCTATATATACTATACAACTTATCAATGCCCCCCCCCCCGCCGCCGAACCCTCTCTCCGATCTCGGCTTTAAGGCTGGCCAGCAGATGCGCATCGGCTCTCCCCATCGGCTCTCACCTAGCTGAGTCTGCCTATCATTACATAGCCAAAAAGTTGATCTACGGCAGCTTCGTATATCTCCACCACTCCTATCTTAATTTAATTATTACCCTTTTCTTACAAAACGAGGATGCTGAACTGAGTGTTTTGTTTTG